TACAGGGCACTCAGGGAAGGTGACCCTAAGCACATGCAGCCCGAGTACCTGACAATACTACTCCCAGCTCACACGACCACCGTAAGAGCAGCACTGAAAACAAGTCACAGCACTGAAACTAGACTGGAGCTGGAGCCACACGACCATGCACTATCCCATCAGCCGAGGAACTGGGGTGTGGATCGCCGGCTCAGGGGTCTGGGGCTCCCCCTTCCCCCTCCCGGGGAGGGGGGAGCTGCTGCGCAGACATGCAGCGCGGCTCGTGTGACGTCATGCTGGTTTGCTTGTTTTTTTTTTGGGGGGAGTTCTGTCCACTCATTTGTCAATTTTGTTGTTAACAAGAATAGGGGTTTGTTTTGGGGCACTTACCTTTCTGGGTGCCTGTCCCGGTCGATGGCAGATATAGAATGCTCCAAATCACATGTGCATTCTATGGGCCATTGCTCCATTCTATGGGGGCCAGGTTCTGGCTCGTGGTCCCCGGTAGGCCTAGAACTCCATCCACATCGACTGATGCAAAGTAGTTAGGATATCCATATCAGCCATGGATAGCTCCGGGGAGCCGCAGGGGCTCCCCCCAGAAATTATTATTAATAACTTTAGGAACAATCTATGAATTTAAATAATGTTAGGGAGTAAAAGCAGGTTTGTTATAATAAACAAAACTATGCTATATGTTATGTTTTTAATATACCAAGGACCCAGGCATTCACACAAGCTTAAATAGGATATTCATTGTGTCGAGGGAAAGGCAGCCAGTTTATACATACAGTCCATGTTAGACTTGTATGAAGGTCTCACCCCCCAAAGAGTCGATTTACTGGCCCTGCCCAGGATGCAACCCCCGTAACAAGCTGACTAACTCCTGGGTACCTATGTACTGATAGGTGGACAGGAGCATTAGGTGATAGAAAATGTGCCCAACAATTTCTGTCCCGCTCGGGATTCAATCCCAGAATTCTCAATTTTGGGGTCAAGAATGAACCCAACTGTAATACTAATACCCTGGTAGTACAGTATATCTGTATACCTGTTACAATATTCATCTACAGTATAATCCAGTGAGACATCATCTATACTTGCAGGTACAGTACATCATCTCTCAAAGTCCTCACAAGTATTATCTATTGTCAGATCATCTATAGTCAGTCATGCTATATCTTTAGGTCAACAGCAAAGGTCTGACACTGTACATGATTACTGCAACAGGTATACAGTATTTCATCTAGACTCATATAAGACATTTGAAAAATTTGAAATTCAAGATCTGTATTGTAAGGAAAAAACCTCGATACTGTAATTAGATCCACCTCTCCACTTTTTGGGGATGGGGAGGAAGTAGCCGAGCAGGGTCAGCCGGGCCGTCCACCTGGCCGGCCGGCCAGCCACCCACCCACCCGCCCGCCTACCTGCCTGCCTGGCTGGCTGGCTGGCTGGCCGCCCACCCGCCCAGTCCAGAGGTCACAAGGGCCCAAGCAGGGTCAAAAGGAGCCCAAGAGCTCCAAGTGGACTCCTCAAGAGCCCCAGGAATTCCAGACAAAGGCCCCCATCCATGCCCGCCACCCATGAAGAAAAGGCGGAGTCCAGGGGGAAAAACTTCCAAGAAAGGAATCTGCTGGTTCGACCCAGAAGCACCGGCGGGAAAATGGACTCAATCACCTCTGCAGCCAAATCGGAAGGAGCAGCCCCTGAAGTCACCAGAGCCTCATCTCAAACTTAACCCTGCCCCCGACAGGGTTCTGAAACCCAAAGACATTTGGGAGCAGGGGGCAGGGGGGAGCAGGGCGAACAACGCCCAACTGGGAAGGAAGAGGGGGCACAGACTGAACCACGGCCGAAGCGACCAATGCCACCAAAACCCAAGCGTGGCAGTTCTGCAGTCTCCAACCAGGCAACCAACCTGACCCGTTGCAAGAATGAGAACTGAGCATGCAACACAGCCGCTGCCTGATCCCTGAGATCAATCGACAAGTGCATTCCTCGTTGTTATGGACCCGAGTCCATCGTCGGAGCATGGAGCAGTGACGACAACGCCATCTGAGAGTCCGCTCCCGAAACCCCCTCCAAATGGACGACGCCATCTAGTGGTGACAGGATATGCCGGCAATAGGCGCTGGATTCCCGTCTTAATTGACTAGTGGAGTAGCCGCTGCTGACCTCTGGTGAGGTAGTGCTTAGACAGTGAACGCCATCTATGGAGTGAAGAGGTGGACGTTTCTGTCTAAGCTTGTGAGCGATGTTCCCTAGAGCGTCCCAGTATTAATGACGTGTCTGGTTTATATAAATCAGGTACAATAAGCACTTATATCTAAGCAAATGGGCCGAAAAAGCACTAACTCTTTAAGTAGGTGGGCGTTTCTGTAAGTGATGTTTCCTGGTGGCCCCAGGTCATGTCCCCAGTACTGATGACGTGTCTGGTTTCAGAGTCGACCTGGGACTGCAGTGTTGGACGATGGGGCAGTCTACCCAAGGCAGCCAAGGTCTCTTCACCAGTCTGCTTTGAAGAAGCTGTGAGCCACCCCCGGACGAACTCTGTTGAGAGTATAATAGCCTGCCTAAAGACTGGCAGTGTCGGGAATCGCCTTACCCGGGGTTGGCTGGTGGAAGAGACCACCCACTGGGGTGCTGTATGAGGAGAGTGACCAGCGAGTCACACGAGGCTCCTGGCTAGGGCTCGCAACCCTAGTATCGGTCGTGGAGTGGCCTATACAGCGGAGCTGATCGGTACCTGCCAGCTACAGGCTGGATTGTGGTTGAAGGCCTCCACGACGAAGCATCCAGTGGGACTGATTTGGCTGGCCTGTGGCCAGGGTAGATTCGGGGTAGTCAGCGTGGATTCATCGTGGGCCACGGAAGAAAGAACCAGGGCTACCCAGAGTGAGCATCGCCAAATATCCAGTGTCTTCGGAGGAAGACGGAACTGTATATAAGTGTAGTTATAATCCCCGTGTGTGACCTGTTTTATATATATATATATATGGTGGTGGCAAATATATTTGAAGGAAAATTCTCATAATTTAGTGTACTTGTATACCTCCCCTATTGTTGTAACTTGCGTTACGGGGCTCACCCCTTGAAAGCCTCTACTAACTTGGGACCGGATTCCCAAACTCTACTACCATCAGAGAAGAACCCGGTTGCGTCCCAGTAGGGCCGTAACACTCGTGTACTTCACGAGGAATGTGAAGTACAAGCGGGAAACTAATCCCACAAGACTTTGGGTCGTAGGTGTCCCCAACCCCACTGGCAGCCTGACGGAGACAGTACAGATGACCGTCTCCCTGAGGCAGGGGAGACGAAAAACCTTCAACCTGACACAAGGCGGGAGTGGGCTCGGGAGAAGTATCCATGCTACTACTGAGCCCACAGGGGTTTTCCAGGTCCTGTAGAGTGAATGAGCCCTACAGCAAGCCCAGGCACTGGGGCCAGCTAAGCCGGTAGAACCCTGTCTATTAGCAGGCAACCGCAGGCAATCCGTTTCAGCAGACATGAAACCTCGGGAGCAACCGAGGAAAACTACCACCACAAATCTAGGCATGTCTATTAAGTGGCTAATCAGACCACCTCTGTTCACACAGGCGTAAATGGCAGAAAGTTAAAAACAAAGCTCCCAAAATCACATAGCTAACAAAATAGCAGTCAGAGAGAAACATCAGCCGTCGTGTTGGAAGTAAAGCTGACTGCGCCAGCCGCAATGCGCCCCAACCAGCAAAAACACACTACTACCCAGAGCAAGACGGAAAGCCCCAAGACCCCCGACGCACCCCAAGGGCAAATACAACCTCAAGCAAGTCAGTCTTAAACAGGGAGCGAGTTTCTAACGCCCCAGGGAAGATGACCCTGACATGCAAGGGTAGTTAGTACAAACAGAGCACCTAGGGAAGGTGACGTACTTCCCTAAGTGCGTACGTAGGAAGGTGAAGTACTAACATGAGCACCTAGGCTCATGCTGCTCCTGTACACTAAGACACCTGGCCACCACACTACACCACACACACAGCTGGAACAGTCACACAGGACGAAATTCCATAACAGGAATTTAAGGCCAGAGGTGACTGGAGTGGTGGGCTGTCGGCACCCCCTCCCCACTTTGGGGAGGGGGAGGAGGTAGGGGGAGCACTAACGACCGGGAGTGCTAGTCGTATGAAGTATTGCTTGTTTGTTTTCTTTCTGGGAAAGTTCTTTTGCTCTTTCCAGACGTAGGTCTCAATTTTCACCAGACTGTAGATTGTTTTGTTTCGCCTATCTTTCTAGGTGCTTTTCCTGGTCGATGGCAATTATGACATACTATACTTTAAATGTAAAGTGCTCATAGGCCATTAATCCCTGCACCTATTTGAAGGGGCCAGGTTCTGACTCCTGGTTCCCGGTAGGTTAAGGACTCCTGTGACTGATGATCCCAAACTAATATAGCACTACTGTATACCAGTTTGGATAGCTTTAGGGAGCCGATGGGGGCTCCCCACAGAAAAGATAAGTTTATCTCCTTACTCTAATAAAGGGCAGTTACTTGAGAAACCTTTGAAGATGTGGAAGAATTATCTGTTTTATGCGAGTAAGGGCAAATTATTGACAGAAGGAAATTTAAGTTAATTTTCCAGAAATCTGTGAATAATAGCAGGCGGATGACAGGCGGAGGTCATTAAAGATTTTTTTTCAAAAAGTTTGTTTTGAAAATATTTAGCTGTATAGCCGGCAGGTAGTGCCAAAAATCATTGTGACGGTCTAAATGTGACCCTGGCACACTGTTCCCATTTGAATTCTTGCAATCTCAACCAGCCTATGTTCATCCCGTATCCCAGACACCAATGCCATTTTGGGAGAATCTAGCCCCAAGTGTGGGGCATCCAATTTTGAACAAAGATAGACATTCTCTCCCTTGTAGTATAGACTGAAACCAGAGGATTATGCTTAAAATGTAATACTGTCCAAGTCATTTTCCTATGGATTTTGCAAAACAGACACACACATGCTTTATTAGGCAAAAATAATCAACTTACTACATCTGAAGAATTAGATGATCTGTTAATATTGCTAGAAATCCAGCAATTGATATTAAAACAACTGGATCCACTCTTGGTAGAAGGATTCTTGTTAAAGCTGGAACATAGTTGCAGAGACTGAAACAAATGATTACATTATTATTATGGAAAACATATTCGTTGGCTAAAATAAAAAAAGAACTGGGGAATGATACTGGGGAAAGAGAAGATTATTATGGAGAAGAGGAGAAGGTCAAAGGGAAGGAGGGGAAAGGGAAGATGAGAGAGGGAGAAGGGAGAGAAGGATAATATGGTTTTAGGAAAAGTTGTTCTGCTGCTGACCTTTGTTGTGCTGAACTTTTCAAAACACTTCAAGCTAATACAGAAGAGGAAGAAGCAAGGTATGTCAGAAAAAATTTAACAATGTAGTGCCAATGAGGAAATCAAAATCAAGATGCAAACTATTTGGATAGAATTCATTGAAAATAATAATAACTTATTGAAAGTCTTATACATATAGGAACCAAACTTTGACAGAATGGAAGAAGGCATATCTGGGAAGAAATATCTATACTGTTTGCATTCTTGGCAACTCAAATTTTAAAAGAATAAACTTGATTAACAAACATGAAATAGAGAAGCATAAGTTTTTTAGAATTTGTTGAGTGCTTCTGCATAGTGCATATATAACATATGGAGATAACACAGGAAAATAATATTTGACTATATATAATATATATAATAATAAATAATATTTTAATAATTATTAGCCAACACACACAAATAAGAATCATTAAAATAGAAAAGAAGTTAGTGAAGAGTCATCACAGGGGAATTAAAGTTAATAGAGCATGGAAAAGTTGTGAGAGAAAACTTGTTGAAGTATCAGTCAAAACTTCCACAAATCTCAAGGAAACACGCAAACGTCACGCATCGCTGCCGCATTGCTCGTCCATGCAGCCCCCCCTCATAAACCCGAAGGGGCAGGGGGGGAGCACCAGACCCTCCACACCAGCAATCCAGAAACTCCAGTTCGAAGGCTTAGCATCAAAACAATGCAAAAAAATGTCGACAGGAGGGAGGGAGGGTGCCAGGGAGCCTCCCGGAGGCTCACCCAGAAAATGGCATTTCATTACATTCAACGCTGGTTTTCTGAGGGGAGCCCCCTTCGGCTCCCTGGAGTTACATAACCAAAGATGAGGAAAAGAGAGAGACTTACCCGGGAGGCAGCCGCCATTCACTCATCAACTTGAAGTCTAGATAACCGGCTGCAACCTGCGACCCCAAGCCACACACACACACACACACTAGGAAGGATAAGAAACGTAGACGATTGTCATGCCCTTCAAGATGACCTGGACAAAATAAGTATATGGAGCACCACTTGGCAAATGGAATTTAATGTTAATAAATGCCATGTTATGGAATGTGGAATTGGAGAACATGAACCCCACACAACCTATATATTATGTGAGAAATCTTTAAAGAATTCTGATAAAGAAAGAGATCTAGGAGTGGTTCTAGATAGAAAACTATCACCTGAGGACCACATAAAGAATATTGTGCAAGGAGCCTATGCAATGCTTTCTAACTTCAGAATTGCATTTAAATACATGGATGGCGATATACTAAAGAAATTGTTCATGACTTTTGTTAGGCCAAAGCTAGAATATGCAGCTGTTGTGTGGTGCCCATATCTTAAGAAGCACATCAACAAACTGGAAAAGGTGCAAAGACATGCTACTAAGTGGCTCCCAGAACTGAAGGGCAAGAGCTACGAGGAGAGGTTAGAAGCATTAAATATGCCAAAACTAGAAGACAGAAGAAAAAGAGGTGATATGATCACTACGTACAAAATAGTAACAGGAATTGATAAAATCGACAGGGAAGACTTCCTGAGACCTGGAACTTCAAGAACAAGAGGTCATAGATTTAAACTAGCTAAACACAGATGCCGAAGAAATATAAGAAAATTCACCTTCGCAAATAGAGTGGTAGACGGTTGGAACAAGTTAAGTGAGAAGATGGTGGAGGCCAAGACCGTCAGTAGTTTCAAAGCGTTATATGACAAAGAGTGCTGGGAAGACGGGACACCACGAGCGTAGCTCTCATCCTGTAACTACACTTAGGTAATTACACTTAGGTAATTACACACACAACCCGAGTAAATGCAAAGTAACGAAACTAGGCAGTGGAAACAGGAGGCCAGACACAGGATACAGAATAGGAGATGATGTACTTAATGAAACAGACAGAGAGAAAGATCTAGGAGTTGATATCACACCAAACCTGTCTCTTGAAGCCCACATAAAGAGAATAATGTTTGCGGCATATGTGAGGCTGGCTAACATCTGAACGGCGTTCAGGAACCTGTGTAAGGAATCATTCAGAATCTTGTACACCACATATGTAAGACCAATCCTGGAGTATGCGGCCCCAGCATGGAGCCCGTACCTTGTCAAGCACAAGATGAAGCTGGAAAAAGTCCAAAGGTGTGCTACTAGACTGGTCCCAGAACTAAGAGGCATGAGTTATGAGGAAAGGCTGCAGGAAATGCACCTTACGACACTGGAAGATAGAAGAGTAAGGGGGGACATGATCACAACATACAAAATCCTCAGGGGAATCGACCGGGTAAACAAGGATGAACTATTCAACAGTGGAGGGATGCGAACAAGGGGACACAGGTGGAAACTGAGTACCCAAATGAGCCACAGAGACATTAGAAAGAACTTTTTCAGTGTCAGAGTAGTTAGTAAATTGAATGCACTAGGAAGTGATGTGGTGGAGGCTGACTCCATACACAGTTTCAAATGTAGATATGACAGAGCCCAGTAGGCTCAGGAATCTGTACATCAGTTGATTGACGGTTGAGAGGCGGGACCAAAGAGCCAGAGCTAAACCCCCGCAAACACAACTAGGTGAGTACAACTAGGTGAGTACACACACACACACACACACGAATGCCCAGGATCAGGAATGTTCACCAAATACCTGGCAGCCAGGACCCCGTTCGACCTCCAAAATCCCCATGCCCGAATATCAACCCAAGACATATTGCCGAAGACGGCAACCAAAGCAGCAAACTTATGTAAGTCATGGGCACGAGGATAGACTGCAGGCTGGCTAGACCAACCAAGCATCAATGACACAAGGACCCCTCCAGAAAGCGGTTGTCTCGTTCTTCGCCAGAAAAGAAGGAGAAGGCTGCAACCGAACAAATCAACTACCAGGACGAAAAGAGCAGAAACCCCTGTCCATGAGGAGAGCATGAAGCTCACCAACCCAACCCCCAGAGGCCAATGCCAACAGAAAGAGACCCTTGGAAAGGAAAGGGAACTATCAGGAGAAAGTGCCAAGCCATTACGACTATATGGAAACCCTTGGAAAAAAATCCTGAACCAAAGAGGCCACCATGAACCAGGAGAATAGAGAAAGGAGAGCAATCTGTCCAAAGACTATGATGGGCCAGGCAGTGCATGAGCAAGCCGGAGGTGAAAAAGAATCAGAAGGCTTACGGAATGGGGCGGAAGAGACATTCACCCCAAATGCAAGCTGGAGCGGCTCTGCCAGCACGCACAATACGAAGTGACACTATTTTGCATCGGATAACGGTCCAGAAAAAAAGCCAAGAAAGAAAGTACAAGACAACCCGATCAGAAATAGAAGACAACCTACGAAGAGAGAGAGAGAAAATGGCTGAAAGAATGCCAGAAAACTTCATACTGTCGCAGAGACGAAGCTCTCAGGTGGGGCACCATCAACGAAGCCACCTGATCACCATGCAAGTGGTGATAAACCTGCATCAGAAAGACTGGACGCGAAGAGTGGAGAAGCCTGAACAAGCCACGTACCGGACCGGTCTGACCTGCTAAAATGAGGCGGAGCCGTGAAAAACGCCCCAGGTTCGCATACTGAGCAAGCAGCACCTGAAACCAAGGCTGGGCCGGCCACCATGGGGCCATGAAGACAACTCTCCCATGGTAAGACTCCAACTGAGCCTGAGATTTCGCAAAAGCCTTCGACAAATGTGACCATGGTGTTATTACACACAAAATGCGTGCAAAAGGAATTACCAGAAAAATAGGCAGATGGATCTACAATTTCCTGACTAATAGAACCCAATGTGTAATAGTCAACAAAATGAAATCCGGACCATCAACCTTAAAGAGCTCAGTCCCCCCAGGGTACTGTGCTTGCTCCAGTACTTTTTCTCATCCTCATATTGGACACAGACAAGGACACAATCTATAGCACTGTATCATCCTTTGTAGATGACACTAGGATTTTTATGAGAGTAGACAACAGAGAGCACACAGCAAACCTCCAATCAGATGTAAATCAGATCTTTCAATGGGCTACAGAAAATAATATGATAATTAATGAAGATAAGTTCCAGCTCTTGTGCTATGGAAAAAGATGCAAGTATAAAAGCAGAAACCCCGTACAAAATGCAGTCAAATCATAACATATAACAAAAATGCAATGTAAAGGACTTGGGTGTACTCATGTTGGAAGACCTTACCTTTAAAGAACACAATAAAGTAGCCGTCACAACTGCAAGATAATTGACAGGTAGGATAACAAGAACTATTCAAACTAGAGATGCTATACCAATGATGATACTCTTCAAGATGCTAGTGCCTTCTAGAGTGGAATACTGCTGCATAATGACAGCCGCTTTCAAAGCTGGAGAAATTGCTGAACTGGAGAGCGTGCAAAGATCCTTTACTGCTAGAATCCACTCAGTAAAACATCTAAACTATTGGGACCGACTGAAATGCCTAAATCTGTATTCTCTTGAGCGCAGGCAGGAGAGATACATAATAATTTACATGTGGAAAACAGTAGAGGGGCTGGTCCCAAACCTGCACACAGAAATAACATCACACGAGATCAGAAGACATAGCAGGATGTGTAGAATGTCCCCATTGAAGAGCAGAGATGCAACAGGTACTCTGAGAGAGAACTTCTATCAACATCAGAGGCCCGAGACTGTTCAACACGCTTCCACTACACATAAGCGGCATAACTGGCCGACCCTTGACAGTGTTCAAGAGAACTTGATAAACACCTCCAAAGGATACCTGATCAACCAGGCTGTGACTTATACGTCAGGCTGCAAGCAGTTGCATCCAACAGCCTCGTTGACCAATCCAGCAACGAGGAGGCCTGGTCAACGACTGAGCTGCGGGGACACTAAGCCCCGAAAACATTTCAAGGTAACCTCAAGGAGCCAGAACTTGAAGCAACAGTTGGACCGGGGAAAGGAAGAGTACAGGTACCACCTCACTCAGTTCTGCCGAAAAGCGTCCACCGTGAAGGCTCCACAGTCGGGAGGACACCACGTAGATCAGGAGACCGTACGTCCGGCAGAGCTAACGAAAGGAGTCAGGTCAACCATCCATTCCGTGGACAGGGAAATGAACCAAGACAGGCCGTCCGCCAGGATACTGAACACTCCCCGGATATGAACCGTATGGAGAGCCAAAAACCAGCAGGCGAGCCACTTGAAGCAACCAGCCCCAAAGAGGCAAGGACCAAAGGAATCCCCCCGCAGTTCAGACAATGAACCACTGGAGAACAGTCCGAATGGAGCCTGGTCATGGAGCCCCCGTGTGACCCAAACCCTCCAAAGCGACAGCCAAAACACCGCCAACTCTTGCACCGTGCTGTGAGCATAATGGAAGGACGGACCCCACTGCCCCTGGCGGCGAGGGTCCGATAAAGATAAATTATCAGAATTATGACTGAGCAATTATCAGAAGATAAAGAATCTTCTGTAATTGCTAACCAATATAATCTGTATTTATTGAATAAATATTATCCATGCAGAAACCGTAGGTCTTTCATTTTATTCCAGAAATAAAGCTGCTCCCTCAAATCTTTAATTAATATTTAGCTCAAACATTGATTCAGCTGCTAACCTCTGGCACATATCAGCAACATGCTCTTGAAGAAGTGATGACTGGGACGCTCTCAACACCTGTGTAAGAGGAGGGTTGTGGGCCAGGCTGGTCATGCCCAGGTGCAGCACCAAACCAATCATACCACCAATACTTAACATTCCTCTGAAAGAATTACTTTTTTGTTTATTTTGAAAATAAAATAATTAAATAACAATGATTAATAAAGCATGACCAATATATACAACATACAGTTTAAGTATTAATTTTTTTACTTATCTGGTTAAATAACAAAATTAAGTCTCTGTACACCAGAAAACTCTGCCCAACATATTTGGTGAAGTCCCAATTGATCAATGAGAGGTAGTATTAACCCTTAAACTGCGCAACGCGCCTGCAGGCTCACGTCTGGTTTGCGCAAGGCACCTCCGGGTATTTGTATTTTTCACATTCCATTCAAAACTCCCGCGGTTACATGGGGTTCACATCAGCTTCCTCAGGGCTCTTGTAAACAGACGCCATCTTAATAAAAAATCGTGGTCCACATTCCCGGGTGTGGGAGCCTCAGTAGTGTGTGAGCAACCAAGGCTGGCGCTCACAGCATGAGCGCACAGCACTGCTGTTCAGCGTGTGACCACAGCATCGCCTAATAATGTCAAAATATATATATAACTTGTATTATTTAGCTATGATAGTGTTATAGAAGAGCCTGAGTGTGATAATGACTGGGTACAATGTTCAAATATCAGTGATTCAATGCTGTTCACGATGTTCACAGCGCTAGCCACAGCACCACAGCATTATTTCGTCCATCTAGGACTCTTCAAATGATTCCTTATGTTCCTTTTCAAAATAAGTGTGTGGTCAATTATTCATTTACAGGAATTAGTGACCAGGATTGTGATAATAGCAGGAATGTGGTTATAATTAGTATTGTGGAAGGAGGAATTTTGGTGAGGGAGGGAGGGCGAGAATTGAGGTAGCCTCATTGTGTGTGTGGCAGGCACTCTTGTTTTGCTCACCATACTAGCTTAGTTGTTCGCTATGGGCAAAACATATGTACATGGGTATATATAGTGTGTGTATATAGTGTAAGAACAGCAACAGGAGAATGTTGAGAGGAGCTATTTTGGTGAGGGAGGTGACGTAATCGTAGTGTCGTCTGCTGTGTGATTTTTCATGCAGTGTATAGTGGCCACTGTACTGTTTGGACACAATACCGGCTTACTTGCATAGTTCTGGTAAATAAAACATGTAGATAGGTATATAGAACATGTGTAATAAGAACTATAACAGTATAGTGGGAGGAGCAATGTTGGCGAGTAAGATGTTGGAGTGAGGGAAACTGGCTGGGTGTGGCTGCTCTCACTCGAGGTGTTCTGAATGTGTTCATGGCCAAATGCTCCTATTGACCCATACGAGGCAGCTCCTATTGGCCCATACGAGGCAGCTCCTATTGGCCCATGCGAGGCAGCTCCTATTGGCCCATAAGAGGCATCTGCTATTGGCCCATACGAGGCAGCTCCTATTGGCCCATACGAGGCAGCTCCTATTGGCCCATACGAGGCAGCTCCTATTGGCCCATACGAGGCAGCTCCTATTGGCCCATACGAGGCAGCTCCTATTGGCCCATACGAGGCAGCTCCTATTGGCCCATACGAGGCAGCTCCTATTGGCCCATACGAGGCAGCTCCTATTGGCCCATACGAGGCAGCTCCTATTGGCCCATACGAGGCAGCTCCTATTGGCCCATACGAGGCAGCTCCTATTGGCCCATACGAGGCAGCTCCTATTGGCCCATACGAGGCAGCTCCTATTGGCCCATACGAGGCAGCTCCTATTGGCCCATACGAGGCAGCTCCTATTGGCCCATACGAGGCAGCTCCTATTGGCCCATACGAGGCAGCTCCTATTGGCCCATACGAGGCAGCTCCTATTGGCCCATACGAGGCAGCTCCTATTGGCCCATACGAGGCAGCTCCTATTGGCCCATACGAGGCTGCTCCTATTGGCCCATACTAGGCAGCTGCTATTGGCCCATACGAAGCAGCTGCTACGCGATGTTCTGAATGTGTTGATGGTAAATGTATATAGTGTGTGACAGTGTATAGTGTGTACCTATGTTGTAAATATACATAAATGAACATGAAACATTGGTGTGAATAACTATGATGGGAGGGGCAAAGTTGGCGAATACAATGTTGGAGAAGCGAGGGAGGGCTGGCTGGGTGTGGCAGCTCTCACTCGCAGTGTTCTGAATGTGTTGATGGTGAATGTATATAGTGTGTGACAGTGTATAGTGTGTAAATAGATTGTATATATACATAAATTAGCATGATACAGAGTAAATATGTGCTGCATATGTGTACACAAGTGTCATGCACGTAACACTGTCTTCGGACAGTACGGATGTTTTACTGCCATAATATAGTGTACGTGTTCACTATACATAGGATTAGCACGTAAAAACATATCAAATGTATTTGGAACTGTGCGAAAAAAATGAACGAAAATATATTCGCGGCAACTCGCGAGCCCTGCCCCGAGCGCCCTACTGGCTCCGGGAGCGTACGTCATGGGCGAACAGGGAATGATGATGTCACGCCCCAACTTACGGACCCCATACCAGCCAAAGTAAGTACAATTTCGATTTTTTTTTCTACATACCCATACTGAGGGAAGGGTTTCTGACACTTTAAAAAGAAAAAAGAATTTTTTCCAGAGAATTTATTTCCTGCGCACTGCACTGCGGGGGTGTCATATTTGGAGGCAACGCAGTTAAGGGGTTAAAGGAATAAAATTTAATAGTAATATTCTGTCTCAGATCTGTACATGGAAATAATGTGCATATATTGTAAAGAACTCTTGCTTTTACAGACCTAATAATACATGCTATAGTCTGCATGTCTAAACTTTACTGATAGAGAAAACAAATGTATAATGAGAATGGAATAAGCATTATAGGTACCCTGAAATCCCCTGTAGAGCAACTGCATTTGATACTGACAAGTTAGCAACATTTTAAACGAGTATGAAGTCCCTCAATCGGAACAATATTCACACAACACTGAAGTACAGTACTGTACTTACGTATGAACCATTTCTGGTGCAAATAATCTCTCAATGCTTTCTTTAACAATGATAACTGCACCAAGTAGAGAGAGAGTGACAGAAGAAAATACTGCAAGGGCCTCACATCTTAAATAGCCATATGTGAATGTATGAGATGCACGTTGACCTTCTGCCCACACACACACCAGGCAGGTAATCAAACTGCACAGAAGGAACAAAAACATAAAACTGGAGGTATTTTAATCGTAGCCAATCAAGCCAAGTATTTCATGGCTCGTAGAGTGATGTAATGAATAGTTGCAGAGATTACAATGATTACAAGGTGCTGCAATGTGTATTTTGCATAATAACAATAATTATAATAATAATAATAATTTATTGACAAGAAGGTACAATGGGTTGGTGAGATTACATAAGATTGGTATTTTTACATTCTTGCAAAGCCATTAACACACAGCATTTCAGGCAGGTCCTTAATCTAATATATCAGGTAAGATGAAAAGGTTTTATATCAACAAATAACTACAATATAAATTGACAGAGATGATTACACTGATAGAGAGATATGTCTTAAGTACTAATATTGGGGAAGTGGGCAGTACAAGATACAGTGAGTTTGAAGCACAAGGTGAGAAGCTATGAGGATGAAATTAGGTACTTTTTAATTTTACTTTTGAATAAGGCATAGGTTGAAATTTTTTTTAATTCATCAGGGAATGAGTTCCATAGACTTGGTCCTTTTATTTGCATGGAGTGTTTGCATAGATTTAGCTTGACTCTGGGAATATCAGATACAATGGGGCCTCGACTTACGATGCTAATCCATTCCCAGAGACGGATTGTAAGTCGAAATATCGTAAGTCGAAGCGATTTTTCCCATAAGAAATAAAGGGATTTGAATTAATCCGTTCCCCACCCTCCAAAATATTAACATACAAATACATTTTATACTGAATACAATATTTTTTTTCTAACTACAATACAGTACCTAAATTTATCTTACCTTTATGGAGGGCTCTTGATGGAAGATGGTGATGAGTGGGGAGGAGGAGAGTTGTTACTGTTTGGAAGGGGAGTCCCCTTCCATTATCACATCAGGTAGTGATGTTTTCTCTGGGGTACTCTCTCTCCTACATTTTGCCTGAATACCACTAGGACCTGGTTGTGGTTCAGTGCTTGTTTGTCTCACTACAAATTTGTCAAGAGACATTTGTTTTTCCCTTCATTTTAACATTTGTCTGTAATGATGCATCACTTTAGCACCCATAATATCCTTTTTCTTAGCCAGTATGGTGGATATCGTTGACTGAGATTTGTTGTACTGCCTAGCCAGTCCAACAACCCACACACCATCTTCATATTTATGAATGATCTCTTGTTTCTGCTCTATGGTCATCCTTACATGGGATCTCATATGTTGAGCCTTACCATTGACTTTCCTGGGACTCATGGCGTGATATATAATAATTTCTTTAATGTTCAAAATGCAAAAAGTCACCACAAAAGCGAAATTTCTTATAGGCACGATCGTCACTAAGTGGGCAGCTGTAGTAAACTGAGGCAGGTCGACCGCGTGACCGGGAACCACGCGCTCGGTCGACCCGAACGTGTACCAACAAATATCGCAAGTCGACGACGCCATCGGATGTCGAGTCGCATTTTTCGATGAAATTTACATCATAACTCGAAATTATCGTAAGTAGGGGCAATCGTAAGTTGAGGTGCCACTGTACTTATTTCGAGTGTGGTGCTCATGGGTTCTATTACACCTATGAAGGAAAAGTTTCAGATCAAGATAAGTATTTAGGAACAAGGTTTTGTACATGCAAATAGCACATAAGAATGTGTGGAGTGATTTTATGTTTAGAATGTTAAGGGACTTAAACAGAGGGGCTGTGTGTTGTCTGAAAATAGAATTTGTCATAGTTTTGATAGCAGATTTTTGCTGTGTGATGATGGGCTCCAGATAACTTGCAATGGTTGAACCCCATGCACAGATACCGTATGTAAGATAGGGATAGATTAGCGCATAGTATAATGAGAGGAGAGCAGAGTGGGGAATATAATATCTGATTTTAGAGAGTATACCGACCATTTTTAAGACTTTTTTGACTATGTGCTATATGTGGGTGCTGAAGTTAAGTCTCTTGTCTATGTATAGGCCAAAGAACTTTCCCTCAACTTTATTGCTAATGTTAACATTATCTATCTGAAGTTGAATTTGATTTGATGATTTACTACCAAATAAAATGTAGTAGGTCTTTTCTATGTTTAGTGCGAGTTTGTTGGGTGACATCGAAAATTAGTGGACTTTTTTAATTCATTATTGACAATGTTATTTAATGTGTGGGGGTTGGGGTCGGAATAGATGAAGGTAGTATCATCAGCAAATATTATAGGTTTAAGAATGTTAAACATTTGGCGAATCATTGACGTATATAAGAAATAGGATAGGTCCTAAGATGCTGCCCAGTCGCACTCCTACTGTTAATGATAGAGTGGGGGAAGTTATGTTATTGATGGCTACATATTACCTGGTTGATACCTGCTTGATGGGGTTCTGGGAGTTCTTCTACTCTCCAAGCCTGGCCCGAGGCCAGGCTTGATCTGAGAGAGTTTGGTGGCACTAGGCTGTTGTTTGGAGCGACCCGCAGGTCCACATATCCACCACAGACCGGTTGGTCTGGCACTCCTTCGAGGAAAGAATCTAGTTTCCTCTTGAAGATGTCCATGGTTGTTCCGGCAATATTTCTTATGCTCACTGTGAGGGTGTTGAACAACTGCAGACCTCTGATGTTTATACAGTGTTCTCTGATTGTGCCTATGGCACCCCTGCTCTTCACTGGTTCTATTCTGCATTTTCTTCCATATCGTTCACTCCAGTATGTTGTTATTTTACTGTGTAGATTTGGTACTTGGCCCTCCAGTATCTTCCACGTGTATATTATTTGATATCTCTCTCGTCGTCTTTCTAGTGAGTACATTTGGAGGGCTTTGAGACGATCCAAATAATTTAGGTGCTTTATCGTGTCTACGCATGTCGTATATGTTCTCTGTATTCCCTCTATTTCAGCAATCTCTCCTGCTCTGAAGGGGAAAGCGAGTACAGTACTGAGCAGTACTCAAAACGGGATAACGGTCTCTTCTCAGACTAGCCTCACCTGGTCCTGATCCACATTGGTCGTGGGAATCTCCTCAATACTTGAAACACTTCAAGGGACTCCTATGATCCTCATCACATTTATAATTTAGTGAATAATAGGGAACTTGGTGTTAAAGACACCTGGGGCTGAAGGCTTAAGTAATGTAATGGCAGTATTCAGAAGTGGTTCAACGGAAACACTGCATAATGCTTAACAGTAGTTTATTAACAAACTTAACCATTAATGCAATGGATGCTTGATTTACTTTAGATTGGCATCAGCAAGGCTATTATCACATTAGTAAGACTCTTGACGTCTAACTAATCAATTCTGATCCACTCGTGGAGAAACACCTAACTTAACACAACTGACAGCCAATTACTAACACGGCAAACCTAACTGCCGGTGTGCAAAGGGTCACAGGAGTTCCAACAGGATACTCGGATAATGATGATGCAAAATAAATCAACAATGGCACCATCAATGGGACAGGAAATCATCATGCACAATAATTATGTCACACATTAACTAAATGTATGATGTCGGTGAAGCTCACATTCACAGATAAGTGTAATGTCATGATACCACACAGATAAAGACGCATACACCGTCAGGTATCTTGGTCTCCACCTATATATACCTGTGTCAAATGTGTAGAAGGTGAGAACTGTGGTTGACCACTCAGATCAACACAAAGACAGACAATAAAGAAACAAGATCTTGTACTTACAGGTATAGGTACCTCTCCCATTCACTCACTCATGCTCATTCATGCAAGACCTCGTAGGTGGCCTGACAGCTGGATTCACTCGTTACAATGTGAGAACACAGATGACAGGCTTTCCCAACACGACCGTACTTGACATGGCGGGGTACTCGCAGGAGGGCGTGCTGTATGTCTATCACATAAAACACACGCTCCTGATGGCACTGGTGCGTGAATATAGGGTGTGACGGGCAGTGACATCGCGTAGTACAGTGATGGCAGGGCAGCTAACGGCTGGTTACACTCTCTGGAATGAGTGGCGGCAGCGGCGGCTACGGTTATATTGTACCATGAAGGTACACGATGGTAAAGTCACACACAGATTACTTAAGCGGTGGCACTTAGTTCACTCTAGACCAATGAGTTACCCACAGACGATCTCGATCTCACAGATGTTTCCTGATACCAGTCTGTTTCGCTCTTTTGATTCACAGACTTTTGTCACTAGAAGATTTCTAAACAATATAGTCACTGTCGCGATTCCAGGTTAGCACTGGTATATCGAGCAGAACGATATTCTTCACGAATGGTGAAGAACGAACGGTGTTCTGTCTATTGGCCGATACAGACGGACACGTCAATCACGCACGAAGTTCCTTACGAGAATAATCTTGCAAAGGGATGCACAATTCCTTGGGGGACAAACACCAGGTCTACCAAGTGATCAATGGTGTTGCAGCGTAGGTGCCAGAACCAATAATATTGATTGTTACACGATGGGTAGAAGAATAACGTCATGACCACGTCACTGTTGTTATTCTTCATCGCGCCAGTTGAGATTGACCCCAGAGGTCAGAGCTTATCTCTCACCTCACTGTCATCCCCTCTCTCATGCCTTGGCATCTTCAAGCTGTGTAATCCCTGGCTATGGCATGAATGCTTAATTCCTCTTTTATCTAATTCTCCCCTTGGGCATACAGCAGCCTCTGCATGATACAAGTATTCCTGAATTTGTGGGCATCCTGGAGACACCCGACATGACAGTTTCCATCCAGGGTAAGAAGAGAGAGGCTTTGTGCATTTGTGCAGTGTACTGTGCACTACAATGAGCCATTCATGTCAGCTGTGGGAGAATCTTGAGAGACCATACTCTCACAAATACTGATAGGCTGGAGTTATTTTGGAGTTTGTTTTTTACAAGGTGCACTGTGTAGTAACTGCAATATTGATGATCAATGTACTGGTTATTGTAGATATGTGATAGCAAATTTAACTCAGGGTCAATGGTAGTTTGCATAGAATAAGAATGGAGAAGACTTTAAGGATATTCTAATTAGAATTATATTTCAGGCAGTGGTTCACTGCCCGAAACGCTATGCGTGCTAGTGGCTTTACAAGAATATAAAAACATTTAATGCTATGTACTCTCATAAACCCAATGTACCTTCTTTTGTGTGTGTGTGTGTGTGTGTGTGTGTGTGTGTGTGTGTGTGTGTGTGTGTAATTACCTAAGTGTAATTACCTAAGTGTAGTTACAGGATGAGAGCTACGCTCGTGGTGTCCCGTCTTCCCAGCACTCTTTGTCATATAATGCTTTGAAACTACTGACGGTCTTGGCCTCCACCACCTTCTCGCTTAACTTGTTCCAACCGTCTACCACTCTATTTGCGAAGGTGAATTTTCTTATATTTCTTCGGCATCTGTGCTTAGCTAGTTTAAATCTATGACCTCTTGTTCTTGTATTGCCAGGTCTCAGGAAATCTTCCCTGTCGATTTTATCAATTCCTGTTACTATTTTGTATGTAGTGATCATATCACCTCTTTTTCTTGTGTCTTCTAGTTTTGGCATATTTAATGCTTCTAACCTCTCCTCGTAGCTCTTGCCCTTCAGTTCTGGGAGCCACTTCGTAGCATGTCTTTGCACCTTTTCCAGTTTGTTGATGAGCTTCTTAAGATATGGGCACCACACAACAGCTGCATATTCTAGCTTTGGCCTAACAAAAGTCATGAACAATTTCTTTAGTATATCGCCATCCATGTATTTAAATGCAATTCTGAAGTTAGAAAGCATAGCATAGGCTCCTTGCACAATATTCTTTATGTGGTCCTCAGGTGATAGTTTTCTATCTAGAACCACTCCTAGATCTCTTTCTTTATCAGAATTCTTTAAAGATTTCTCACATAATATATAGGTTGTGTGGGGTCTATGTTCTCCTATTCCACATTCCATAACATGACATTTATTAACATTAAATTCCATTTGCCAAGTGGTGCTCCATATACTTATTTTGTCCAGGTCTTCTTGAAGGGCATGACAGTCATCTAAATTTCTTATCCTTCCTATTATCTTAGCATCATCAGCAAACATGTTCATATAATTCTGTATACCAACTGGTAGATCATTTATGTACACAATAAACATCACTGGTGCAAGAACTGAACCCTGTGGTACTCCACTTGTGACATTTCTCCATTCCGATACATTGCCTCTGATTACTGCCCTCATTTTTCTATCAGTCAGAAAATTTTTCATCCATGATAGAAGCTTACCTGTCACCCCTCCAATATTTTCCAGTTTCCAGAACAACCTCTTATGTGGAACTCTGTCGAAAGCCTTTTTTAGGTCCAGATAGATGCAATCAACCCAACCATCTCTTTCCTGTAATATCTCTGTGGCTCGATCATAGAAACTGAGTAAATTCGATACACAGGATCTTCCAGATCGAAAACCATACTGTCTGTCTGATATTATATCATTTCTCTCCAGGTGTTCTACCCATTTAGTTTTGATTAGTTTTTCCAATACTTTCACTATTACACTTGTCAATGATACAGGTCTATAATTGAGGGGGTCTTCCCTGCTGCCACTTTTGTAGATTGGAACTATGTTAGCCTGTTTCCACCCGTCTGCTACTATTCCTGTACACAGGGATGCCTGAAAGATCAGGTGAAGTGGAATGCTGAGCTCAGATGCACATTCTCTCAGAACCCATGGTGAAACGCCATCTGGGCCAGCTGCTTTGTTCTTACCGAGCTCCTTGAGCATTTTTTCCACTTCGTCTCTAGACACCTCTATGTGTTCTATGTTGTTCTCTGGAATTCTTATTGTATCTGGTTCCCTAAAGATTTCATTTTGTACAAACACACTTTGGAACTTTTCGTTTAGTGTTTCACACATTTCCTTTTCATCTTCCGTGAATCTATTTCCCATTTTCAACCTCTGAATATTATCCTTTACCTGTGTGTGTGTGTGTGTGTGTGTGTGTGTGTATTATTTATATATATATATATATATATATATATATATATATATATATATATATATATATATATATATATATATATATATATATATATATATATATATATATATATATATATATATATATATATATATATATATATATATATATAAATAAATAAATAATGGGGATGGTGTGTGACAGTAAATTACAATAAAAATTCAAATTAAAAAGATACTGTAGTCATATTGAGATGTAAATGGAATACAAAAATAAGACATATGATTTGTAATAAAATAAACCTGGCAAAATTACTAAAATTACACTACAATAAAATAATAAGAGAAGAAATACAAAAATCAATGTAATTAGACAAGAGAATACAGATGTCAAGTAAAAAAAAAAGAGATTCAATAAAGATTAACAGGAATAAAATTCTATATAAATTCTATCTTGAGAGACAATATTAATATTCCTTATATAATAACTATATTGCAATACAGTAGTTATTAATAGAACATTATTAAGAACAGAAAAAGAGCTAACTTACCTCAAGAGACTGAACCATGACAGGTATGTGTATGCCAAAAGTGCTGTAAAGAGCAAAAGAAATTTGGTTAAAACAGACCTACCAGTATAAAGAAACCAAATGTTGCATGTCATGAATTACCCTTTTATAGTGGGCCCCAGTAGCTTCCCAAGCTCCCCCTCTAGTGCGACCTAGTCTTAGCCCAACACACCAAGCCTCTGAGAACCTCTGAGGGTGCCTGACAGCTGGGTGGACAGCTCTTCGGATTCGTAGTCCTGAGGTTTCGGGTTCGATCCCCGGTGGAAGCGGAGACAAATGGGCAAAATGTTTCTTTCACCCTGATGCCCCTGTTACCTAGCAGTAAATAGGTACCTGGGAGTTAAGACAGCTGCTACGGGCTGCTACCTAGGGGGTGGAGGCCTGGTCGAGGACCGGGCCATGGGGACACTAAGCCCCGAAATCATCTCAAGATAACCATCCCTCACTTTCTGGGAACTAGGACTAGAATCTGGCTATGAGGCTAGGGAAGCAGAGGATCAGAGATCAACCACAACATTAGGGAAAACCTAGTTTTGTGGATGAGAACAAACTATTGAAGTTAGTAGCAGTGCTAATGGCTGACAATTCCACCGTCACCAGCTAGGAATATGGTGGTACAGTACTACCTCTGTTTACGAATTTAATTCGTTCCCAGAGACAAGTCGTAACATGAAAATTCGTAACTTGAAACAAATTTTCCCATAAGAAATAATGTAAATTTAATTAATCCGTTCCACACTCCCAAAAATATTAACTTCAAAACACATTTCATTCATAATATACACACACATTTTATACTAGAGTATGTACAAGTTATAGCTTACCTTTATTGATGACTTTTTGGCATATGGAGGGGGGGAGGGGGGGAAAGGAGGAGGAGGGGGGGGGGAGGAGGAGGAGGAGGAGGAGGGGGGGGGAGAGGAGGAGGAGGGGGGGGAGAGGAGGAGGAGGGGGAAGGGGGGAGAGGAAGGGGGGAGAGGAGGGGGGGAGGGAGGAGGGGGAGAGGAGGAGGGGGGAGGAGGAGGGGGGAGGAGGAGGAGGGGGGAGGAGGAGGAGGAGGGGGGAGAGGAGGGGGGGGAGGAGGAGGGGGGGAGGAGGAGGAGGAGGGGGGGGAGAGGAGGGGGAGGAGGAGGAGGGGAGGGAGAGGAGGAGGAGGAGGGGGGGAGAGGAGAAGGGGGGGGAGAGAGGAGGAGGAGGAGGGGGAGGAGGAGGAGGAGGGAGGGGGGGGAGAGGAGGAGGGGGGGAGAGGAGGAGGAGGGAGGAGAGGAGGAGGAGGGAGAGGAGGAGGAGGGAGAGGAGGAGGAGGGAGAGGAGGAGGAGGGGGGGAGAGAGAGGAGGAGGAGGAGAGGAGGAGGAGAGGAGGAGGAGGGGGGGGAGAGGAGGAGGAGGGGGGGAGAGAGAGAGGAGGAGGAGGGGGAGGAGAGAGGAGGAGGAGGGGGGGGGGAGAGAGGAGGAGGAGGGGGGGGGGAGAGAGAGGAGGAGGAGGGGGGGGAGAGAGGAGGGGGAGGGAGAGAGGAGGGGGAGGGAGAGGAGGAGGAGGAGGGGGGTTAGAGAGAGGAGGAGGAGGGGGGGAGAGAGAGGAGGAGGAGGAGGGGGGAGAGAGAGGAGGAGGAGGGGGGGGAGAGAGAGGAGGGGGGGGGGAGAGAGAGAGGAGGGAGGGAGAGAGAGAGGAGGAGGAGGGGGGGGAGAGAGAGGAGGAGGGGAGGAGGAGGAGGAGGAGGGGGGAGAGAGTGGAGGAGGAGGGGGGAGAGAGTGGAGGAGGAGGGGGGGGAGAGTGGAGGAGGAGGGGGGAGAGAGTGGAGGAGGAGGGGGGGGGGAGAGAGAGGAGGAGGGGGGGAGAGAGGAGGAGGAGGGGGGGAGAGAGAGGAGGAGGAGGAGGGGGAAAGAGAGGAGGAGGAGGGGGGGGGAGAGAGGAGGAGGAGGAGGGGGGGAGAGGAGAGGAGGAGGAGGAGGAGGAAGGGGGAGAGAGGAGGAGGAGGTGGGGGAGAGAGAGGAGGAGGAGGGGGGAGAGAGGAGGAGGAGGGGGGGGAGGAGGAGGAGGGGGGAGGGGGGAGAGAGGAGGAGGAGGGGGGGGAGAGAGAGGAGGAGGGGGGGGGAGAGAGGAGGAGGGGGGAGAGAGGAGGAGGGGGGAGAGAGGAGGAGGAGGGAGGAGAGGAGGAGGAGGAGGGGGGAGAGAGGAGGAGGAGGAGGGGGGAGAGAGGAGGAGGAGGAGGGGGAGGAGGAGGGGGGAGGAGGAGGAGGAGGGGGAGAGAGGAGGAGGAGGAGGGGGGAGGAGAGGAGGAGGAGGGAGGGGGAGAGGAGGAGGGAGGAGGGGGGAGAGAGGAGGAGGAGGAGGGGGGAGAGAGGAGGGGGAGGGAGAGGAGGAGGAGGAGGAGGGGGGGAGGGAGAGAGGAGGAGGGGGGAGGAGGGAGGAGGAGGGAGGGGGGAGAGAGAGGAGGAGGGGGGGGGAGAGAGGAGGAGGAGGAGGAGGAGGAGGAGGGGGGAGAGAGGAGGAGGGGGGGGGAGGAGAGAGGAGGAGGAGGGGGGGAGGAGAGAGGGAGGAGGAGGAGGAGGGAGGAGAGAGGAGGAGGAGGGGGGGAGGAGAGGAGGAGGAGGAGGAGGGGGGGAGAGAGGAGGAGGAGGAGGGGGGAGAGGAGGAGGAGGAGGAGGGGGGAGAGGAGGAGGAGGAGGAGGAGGAGGGGGGAGAGAGGAGGAGGAGGGGGGAGGAGAGGAGGAGGAGGGGGGGAGGAGGAGGAGGAGGGGGGAGAGGAGGAGGAGGGGGAGGAGAGGAGGGGGGGGGGGGGAGGAGGAGGAGGGGGGGGAGAGAGGAGGAGGAGGGGGGAGAGAGGAGGAGGAGGGGGGAGAGAGGGAGGAGGGGGGAGAGAGAGGAGGAGGGGGGGGGGAGAGAGGAGGAGGAGGGAGGAGAGGGGAGAGGGAGAGGAGGAGGAGGGAGGGAGAGAGGAGGAGGAGGAGGGAGAGGGAGGAGGGGGGAGGAGAGGAGAGGAGGAGGGGAGAGAGGAGGAGGAGGAGGGGGGAGAGAGAGGAGGAGGAGGAGGGGGGAGAGAGGAGGAAAAGGAGGAGGGGGGAGAGGAGAGGAGGAGGAGGGGGGAGAGAGGAGGAAAGGGAGGGGGGAGAGAGGAGGAGGAGGAGGGGGGGAGAGAGGAGGAGGAGGAGGGGGGAGAGGAGGAGGAGGAGGGGAGGGAGAGAGGAGGAGGAGGAGGGGGGAGGAGAGGAGGAGGAGGAGGAGGGGGGAGAGAGGAGGAGGAGGAGGGGGGGGAGAGAGAGGAGGAGGAGGAGGAGGGGAGGGGGAGAGAGGAGGAGGAGGAGGGGGGAGAGAGGGAGGAGGAGGAGGGAGGGGGGAGGAGGGGGAGGAGGAGGAGGAGGAGGGGGGGAGAGAGGAGGAGGAGGGGGGAGGGGGGGAGGAGGAGGAGGGAGGGGGAGAGGAGAGGAGGAGGAGGGGGGGGGAGGAGAGGAGGAGGGGGGGGGGAGAGGAGGAGGAGGGGGGGGAGAGGAGGAGGAGGGGGGGGAGAGGAGGAGGAGGAGGGGGAGAGGAGGAGGAGGGGGGGGAGAGAGGAGGAGGAGGAGGGAGGAGAGGAGGAGGAGGAGGGGAGGAGGAGGAGGAGGGGAGAGAGGAGGAGGAGGAGAGGGGGAGAGAGGAGGAGGAGGAGAAGGAGGAGAGAGGAGGAGGAGGAGGAGGAGGAGGAGAGAGGAGGACGAGGAGGAGGGGAGAGGAGGAGGAGGAGGAGGAGAGAGAGGAGGAGGAGGAGGGGAGAGAGGAGGAGGGGGAGAGAGGAGGGGGGAGAAGAGAGGAGGAGGAGGAGGGGAGAGAGGAGGAGGAGGAGGGGAGAGAGGAGGAGGAGGAGGGGAGAGAGGAGGAGGAGGGGAGAGAGGAGGAGGAGGAGTAGGGGGAAGGAGGAGGAGGAGTGGGGGAAAGGAGGAGGAGGAGTGGGGGAAAGGAGGAGGAGGAGTGGGGGAAAGGAGGAGGAGGAGTGGGGGAAAGGAGGAGGAGGAGTGGGGGAAAGGAGGAGGAGGAGTGGGGGAAAGGAGGAGGAGGAGTGGGGGAAAGGAGGAGGAGGAGTGGGGGGAAAGGAGGAGGAGGAGTGGGGGAAAGGAGGAGGAGGAGTGGGGGAAAGGAGGAGGAGGAGTGGGGGAAAGGAGGAGGAGGAGTGGGGGAAAGGAGGAGGAGGAGTGGGGGAAAGGAGGAGGAGGAGTGGGGGAAAGGAGGAGGAGGAGTGGGGGAAAGGAGGAGGAGGAGTGGGGGAAAGGAGGAGGAGGAGTGGGGGAAAGGAGGAGGAGGAGTGGGGGAAAGGAGGAGGAGGAGTGGGGGAAAGGAGGAGGAGGAGTGGGGGAAAGGAGGAGGAGGAGAGAAGAGGAGGAGAGAAGGAGGAGGAGGAGGGATACCATCCGGCAGTGATAACTTCTCTAGGGTACTCACTCTCTCCTACGTTTTGCCTGGATACCACTAGGCCCTGTTTTTGGCTCGCTGTTTGTTTTTCTCACTAAGAACCTTACCATAGAGACTTGTTTTTCCTACATTTTAAGACTTGTCTGTAGTGAGGCATTACAGTGTCATTGAAAGGGTTAAGGCAATGTTAGGGCGTTGCCTGTAGCTTGATTTGGGCGAGTCATTTCAACAGAACTTTGCATTTATTCCCATACTGCACACCATTACTGTACTTAATTATTGAGGAACCCATGGTGTGATATATAATAAATACTTTTATGTTTAGAAAGCAAAAAACCAGTGTTGAATGTAATGAAACGCCATTTTCTGGGCGAGTCCCAGATGCTCCCCGGAGCTATCCAGGCTGATATGCTAATGTCAGAATTTGGCATCAGTCATGTGTATAGAGTTCTGTGGGCCTACCGGGGACCATGAGCCAGAACCTGGCTTCCTCACAGAGGCACGAGGCACAATAGCCTATAGAAACCCCCATGTGGTTGGAAGCATTCTATGTTTTCCATCGACCGGGATAGGCACCCAGAAAGGTAGGCGTCCCAAAACAAACCCCGATTCTGGTGAAAATTGCTACAAAATTTCAAACA